AATTTATATGTTTATTCATTTAAAATGCAAAAATCAATTTTGAGTCCCACAATCGATTGTAAATTGTTTAGTAATGATTTCAAGTAAAACCGTGGTTTTTTATTTATCTTATCTTGCTATTGCGGAACATTAAACCATTGAAGGTTTCATTGAGAACCGAATTAATTTTTTCATAATTTCCTTCTCCAATAAATGCATTGAGAAACTCTTCCACTGTGATTGATTGTGAGTGTTTGTTCCATATGTAGTGAAGCCCAGATTTTGATTGAATCACCTTATCAAATGCCATTAAACACAGAATCCGCCCAACAAGTTCACCTTGCTCACCTGCATTGACGATAATATGATTTTTAACTGAATATATTACACCGTCTAAAATTTGTTTCAGGATTCTAGGATGGCTCATGACGTGACTGGCTGCTTCTGCTAATATTGGTTCACTTGGATATGTAGTGATTAGTGATTCACGTTTATCATCTACATGTCGCAGGATTCTCATGTGATGACTAACTAATTTAGATGCTTGTTGTGAAACTCTAGAAATTTCCAAGTAGACTCGTGCTCCAAGAATTGCTAGTGATTGTTCTATTGTTAATTTTATTGGTTCAATGTCTTTATTTTCATGGATTTTAGCTGCTTCGTCATGATCACATAGAAGCTTTGCAATAGCAAATTCCACAACATAAACCTCTTCAACATTTGCCCATAAAGGGCGTCCCATATTACGCATCTGTTGTATTGCTGAGGTAATTGTGATTTTGGTATTTTCTGGTTGAGGCATTTGACAATCGAAAGTGTCAAGATGATAAAATGGTTTGTACAATTGTTGTCCTTGCAAAAATACTCTGTATGATGGATCATTATACTTGGCAGGTGAGAAATTTGAAACTCTTGAAAGTGTATCTGTAAAAAGAGCCAGAAAATGATGGCCTGTGACTTTAGATTCATGTGGAATATGCTGTAATGCTTTCCTCATGTGATAAAAATTATCCTTTCCATCAGAATTATTGTGGTCAATCAATGTGCCAGCTTCATCAAAAGCTAATAGCATCTTCAATGAAGAAGAATTTTTCATTTTATCTAGAATGGGTATTAGCTTTATATATTCATCCTCTATTTTTCCCACTTTTAAATTATCTTTCGATTCCATTTTTCCCATCACAGTCCCCCAAAAAGATTGTTGCAATCCAAACAGTTCTGTATCATTACTATCACTAATGAGAATGTCAAACATATGACCACATATTTTGCCTGAATATTGTATTTTGAGCTGCTCCAAAAATTCCTTACACACCCTAAATAAAGCTGAAAGAAACCCCATGTAATAGGTTTCATCATGTGCTTCTTTGGTTAAATAGTCAGCAATGGTTGAACGATTTGGGTAACCATGCCATCCAGATTTGCGTAGACAAATGTAGATTACCAAGACATCTTTTTCAGTTGCCAATTCCCGCAATAGCCTTGACTTACCTGTCCCACTCGCTTGTACAAGTGATGTATAAGGGGAGTAGAATTTATTCGGTCTCCACACTTTTGCACATCCATCTAGATGGTTCAAAAAGGCATCAACATAGTCCTCTCCAGGTTTACTTAATTCTTTCTTAAATGCCTTTTTCAATATAGTATAGTCTTCTCTCATTGATGTTTGTTTCTTGTTATCTCCAAACTTCTCTTCTTCTAGATAAATCATTAATAGAGCAAAACAAAAACAAAGAAAAAATATAGGTTAGCAACATTTCAAAACAGTAATATGTATGTCACTCAAATGAATAAATAAATAAAACGAAATGAACGAAAAAATAATTTTTTTGTATATTTTTTAATGCAATTTGTTCATTACCTTTCTCTTCATTAAATTCACGCGACTTCTTATTCCACTCTTTCAGCTCATATTCCCAACTATCCATTTTTCCTTTCAACCCTTCTTCTTTTTTTGTTAAGTAATTAAACTCTTCTCTATGCCTGTCTATATCTCCCAACAACAACTCCTTCAACCTCTGCCCCTCCCACCCTTCCGTGAACTTATTTAACACCTCCTTTGCACCTTCATACTCTCTTTCCGCCTTCTCCAAATTCTGTTTAATAAATTCGAAAGTTACCATCTATTCAGAATTAAAAAAAAATTTTTTTATTGATTTAGATCGTAATTATTAATGGATAGGATTTCACTTAAAAGTTAATAAATTGCAATTTACCTTAATTTTGATCGACATTACACATGTACAGTGGGGTATCAAAAGTCACCGGACAGTTGAAATTTTTTAAAAAAATCACTAAAATTAAAATGCTAATTGT